TAGGAGTTAAACTTTGACCTGACATAGATACATTCCTTGGAAAGAACAATCATGGGAGAAAGAAGGGCTTTTTATGCACAGGGAGACAGCTCAGAGGGCAGGGGTGCATGGAGGGATGGACACAGGGAAGAGGTGACTATTGGGATGAAGTGGGAGGGGAGCTGTTGCATTGTGGTGAATTATGGTCAATGCCATGAGACAAAGTGTATGTGAACTGTTTTATGGAAAGTGAATTTGATCTGTAAATTTTTACCAAAATCACAATTAAAAAAAAAAAAAAGTTCAAAAATTAAAAATGGCAAAGCTATGTGGGCCTCACAATAAACGTAGGAGGGCAAAGTCGTTGGCAGTTGGCACCCAAGCCAGAAACTTGGAAGTCACCTTCAGAAGTTTATCTGGTCATATTCCCCACATTAAAAGTTTTCAATGGTGTAATGATTCTAGTTCCTAAAATTTAATTCCTTATCTCTATTCTTATATTACTTTTATAATCTCTCTCCTATACTTTTGTAACAACTTTCTAATGCTTGTACCTAGTTTCATCTTTTCCTCTCAACAATCTGTCATCGAAGAGTCAGATATATTTTTCTAAAATGCAAAATTAAATTTCTTTAGGAAAAGACTGATTCACAATGCAGGGTTTAAAACAAACCACAAAAACACATAAAGGGAACTTAATTAGATCGATTTTACACCAATAGGTCTGAAGACATGCCTAGAATTTGTATTAATATAAATAAAGATACATATAAAATTCAGTAGTGATTTCCATATAAGCCTATGTAGAAAACTATTGGTTTAGAGCAGAAATCAGCAAACTATTCCCTATGCACCAAATATAACCTAACATCATTTTTATCAGGTTAAAAATCGTTTTTACATTTTAAATGTTTGAAAAAAAAAGAATAATAATATTTTGTGATAAGTTAAATTTATTATTTTATTTCCTCTCTGTTAGTTGTTGTTGTTATGTGCCGTCGAGTCGGCCCCGACTCATAGCGACACCTCCTTGGGTGAGGCAGTATCACTACGGAAGTAGGATTGCCCAACCTTCCTTCCGAGGAGAGGAAATGAAATAATGAAACAAAACCAAAAATACCTTTATTATACACCATCCACAATGGTCTTCTTCTAGTCCTCAAACACACCATACTCATTCACATTTTTGCCTATTTATTTTGCTGGAATATTTTGGTGTCAGATATCACGTGATTGACTCCTTCTTAATTTTCAAATAATAGTTTAAATATTTCTTTCACAAAGAAGACCTCCTTAATCATCCAATCTGCAGTAACCTCCTCTACCAGTCACTTTCTATGTCATTATCTTGTCATATTTTACGTTTTACTATCTAAACTTATTTTCCTCATGTATTAGTTTACAAATTTTCTGTTTATCCCTTTGGGGATGCAAATTCTGTGAAAGGAGAATAGATCTATTCCTTGATGTGTCTTGATGTATTCACTATTGTCAGGTGCATAGTAGGCACACAATCAATGATTTTCAAATAAATGACTCACTGACTGAATAAATTAGTGAACAAAATGATCCCATATTGCAGAGAAATGGGAAATTAATACAATCCATGATTGTCAAGATTACTGAGTAGGCTTCACAAAAACAAATGGAAAGCCAGAAGGCTGAATAGCAGAAGAGAGTATTTTATGTGGAAAGAATATAATGCATACATTTATCAGGCATAGATAAATACAGTGTATACATACATAAAATCCAGCAAATATACACATATGTATCACAGTGCATGAATGAGATTCAAGCAATTCAAATTGCTGATTCCTAGACAGTGAAAAGGACAATGTAGTATTCAAAGTTAAAGAGAGAGACAGGCAGCAATCAATATAGACTTGTATGCCAGTATGGCAAACTTAAACTTTATTCTCTAAACCAAGAGTGCAAAAAGGGCATAGCGGTGGTATCCTCCTCTGACCTTCTCTAACGTTACAAGGAGGAAAGAGAATCACCATCATTAGCCCAAGACTTACTCCTATGATGCCAAACATGCTGCCACTTTCAAACCTTTTTACCAATTCTGGTACCAAATATCCTTCCCATAGCATTCACTACTTCTCTGCTAGGTTTAATAATGTGTTCCATTGGCCACAAATAATTCATAGACAATACTCATGATTATGGGGTTTATTGGGGAAGTAACAATTTACAAATCAAGTTCAAGAATGGCCAGGATACAATTCTTCAATCAGGACAGCTTTCTGTCAGCCATGCCCTAAGGCACACCTCTTTTGGCCTGTGGCTTCTTGGCTGACTTCTGCCCTTCTTAGGCAAGAGTTGCAAAGCTCTTTTAGCTCTGTCAACAGGAGCACCTAGGTTCAATCTTCTCCACTAGGAAGAGTACTGTCCAAATGCACTCAGCTTTCTCTCTCCATGGGCTGGCAAGCCCACTAGTCTGTCTTCTGCTTCTTGCTACTATTGTCTACCTCATCTCGACTGGTCGTCTCTGCTGTCCTACTGCCAAGGAGGTCCAGTGCAGGGATCTCAGGTCCAAAAATGCTCTTCATTCCACCTCTAGTTCTTCTGTCTTGATGGCAGTGAGATCCCCCTTCTACTGGGACTGCTCATTTTAAGCTTAGCTGGATAACAAAACTGACCAATATCCACATTGGATCTCTGGTAGCGTAGTGCCTAAGGCACTTGACTGCTAACCAGAAGGCTGGTGGTTCAAACCCACCAACCACTCCTCGGAAGGAAGACTGGGCAATCTACTTCCTTAGTGATACTGCCTTGGAAACCCAGGGAGGGGTCGCTATGAGTCAGGTCCGACTCAACAGCACATAACGACGACAACAACAACAACAACAACACCTACTTCCATGGTCCCACCCCACAAGCATCTTATGTACCTCACTTGCATTATTAACAAGCTATCCAATCCCTTTTCTTGGCCACAATCATCTTTCATTTGCATAGTTCTACCCAGTAATCTGGTGGGAGTCACAAAGACCATACGTGATTAGAAGAGCCATGCCAAATAACTGACTACACCACAAAGAGTCGGTAATTGTTTTTGGAAATTGCCAGATTATAAAGAGTTTAGTGTTTTCAGGGCTTTTGCCCTCTGTTACAACTATTCAAGTCTGCCATTATAGTGCAAAAGAAGCTATAGTTCCTATATAAATAAACTGGTTTGGCTGTGTTCCATAAAGTTTTATTTATGCACATTGAATTTGAATTACATTTAATTTTAACTATCAAAATGTCATTCTTCTTTTGATTGTTTTTCAAACATTCAGAAATGTGAGTTATTTTTAACCTGACAAAAACAGACATCAGGTTAGATTTTTCATGCAGGCCATAGTTTGCTGATCCTTGCTATAAACAAATAGCATTCTACACAGGCTAGGATGGGAATAATTACTGAATTTTACATGCTTCTTTGTTTATATTAATAAAATTTCTTTGCAGAAAATGAAATAATAGAGCAACATAAAAAATTCTAAGAAAAATAAGAGATACAATAAAAGGTAAAATATAAATAAATAAAAAACAAAGAGAAGACAACTGAAAGATATTGAAAACAAGTGCAAACACATAAATAAACAAAATAAATTCATCAAATAAAAGAAGAAATAAATAGGTCAGAGAAAATGAAATCAAGTTTTATGCTATTTATATTAGAAATACAAAAGAAATACAAAAACATGAAGACACAGAGATTTGTGCATAGAGGAAAGAATAGAAAAATACACCAGATAAATACTAACCAAAAGAAAGTGGAGTTTCCTCTATTAATATCAAAAAAAAAAAAAAAAAAAATCAAATTCTGCCTTGCATTTGTCAATTACAATTTGTTTAACTTCATTATCTTGTCAAAAAAAAAAAAAAAAAAAGGAAGGTGATATGAACATGAATCTTAAAAAAAAAAAAGAACTGAGGTAATGACATATCTGTACTGGGTGACTTCAGATCTAAATTTAAATCTCATTTTGAATTTAACTCAAATTTCATTTCTATTTTTCTAAAGAAACCACTCAGCCAAAATGTTAAAGTTTTACTGCTTGAAAAATAATGAAGCCAAAAGTCAGGATTTCTAATCTGGATAAAGATTTACTTACCAAACTAAAACCAAACTCACTGTCCTCGAGTCGAATCCGACTCATAGTGACACCTCCTTGAAATTCTGAGGCAGTATCACTAGGGAAGTAGAAAGATTTACTTCATGTTTAAAAAATGTTTGTTCAGGTGGCCTCAGAAAAAGCACCTTAGTCCACTCATGTACTGCCATCAACTAGGATCTGACTCATAGCAATCCCTACTTGGGTTTCCCAGGCAGTACCTCTGGTGGTGTAGTGCTTAAGGCATTTGACTGCAAACCAGAAGACTGGCGGTTCAAACTCACCAGCCACTCCTGGGAAAGAAGATTGGGCAATCTACTTCGGTAGTGATACTGCCTTGGAAATCCAAAGAAAGGTCACTATTGTGAGGCCTGAGTCTTAATGGCCTCCAGGTATATCTTTAACCAGAAGTCTTTCAGTGTCGGGGATTCTAACACTCTCCGTGCCTCAGGGCTTTTATCTACCCTCCGGACTCAGCATGTATCAGAGATTTCCTCTGGATTCAGCGCGTATCAGAGATTTACCTGGCTCCTGAAGTCTCCCACGTATCAGGGCTCTGTATCCTCCCTAGATAATAATTCCCTAAGTAGACTTTCGAGCCGGGGGATTCCAACACGTCCCCCAGCATCTCAGATCCCTGCCCTAAACCCCTTAGCAACAACCAATCATCTGTACCCCTTAGCCCTGGTACTACTCCACCCTATATTTTTTCCTATAAAAATGTGATAGTAAAAGAGCACAAGGTCTTTTGCCTTGGCCACTGCGTTGGCAAGAGCAGGGACCCTAGCTCAAGCTAGCTAATAAACTTTCCTTTTGCTTTTGCATTATCATGTCTGTGGTGACTTCCTTGAACCAACATTCCTTTCCAGGATCAAAATTTGGTGCGTTGGCCGGGAAGGACAATTCAGAATGAGTGAAGTTGCCTGTGATGCGATAGTAGGAAAGTTTCAGGAAGCCAGCAGGACTAGAATACGTCCTTTGCATGCGGACACTAGTCCATCAGGAAAGGCTGGAAACTGGTGGATGCGCCAGATGAGTGGGGGAAGGAGCCCTTCCCCAACTCACAGGCAGGCTCTGGGTGCTTTTTGGTAAGGGCAGCCCACTTCAGGGGAGGGGGGAGGCCCCTCCAATCTGTGGTACTGGAACGAGATCTCTGCTGGGTGTCAGCTATTTGTGCTGTCTGTTTAGGTGTCTCTTGTTTTGTGGCCACTTGTCTTTTATTTGTTCTGTGTTTTCTTAAAGGAGGTTGAAATGGGACAGAAACAGACTACCCCTCTGTCCCTGATGGTTGAACATTTTTCAGAGTTTAAAACCAGGGGATCTAATTTGTCTGTGATAATTAAGAAAAATAAACTAATAACTTTTTGCTCTTCAGAATGGCCCTCTCTTGAGATGGGGTGGCCTCCGGAGGGCTCACTGGATGGAAAGGTGATCGCAGCCGTATTCTACCGAGTCCAGGTGCCAGGCCCCTGTGGGCACCCGGAACAATTTCCTTACATTTTAGTGTGGCAAGATATAGTGACTAACCCACTCCCATGGCTAAAACATTTTCTTCCGAACCTCTCTGTTAAGGTATTAACATCCTCACTCAGGACCAGCGAAAAGGAGAAACTGAGATAACCTGGGTCCCAAGCAGCTGTTCCACTGGTCTTGCCTGATTCTCAGGCTGACCTCGATCTGATGGATCTAGAAAGTGGCGTATCTCCACCTCCCTATGCCCCTCTGCCACCTTCCCACCCTCTCCAGGTTCCACAAGTATTGGGAGGGAATGGAGCAAGTGCTCCAAGTGTGTCGCCCATCATTACGGGCCCAGCCTCCAGCCTCTGCCCACACCAGAGGGACTCCCAGGAGGCTGAAGCTCCATCGTCTACTGTCCAGGCGCTGTCTCTCAGAGAGATTGGCCCGCCCTGTGAGGACAGAAGCAGAACCAGGCAGTATTGGCTGTTTTCAACATTGGACCTGTATAACTGGAAAGCGCAAAACGCCCCCTTCTCTGAAAACCCCCAAAGCCTAATTAATTTGTTAGATTCTATATTGTTTATTCATAACCCCACTTGGGATGATTGTCAGCAGCTATTGCAGGTTTTGTTCACCACTGAAGAAAAAGAAAATATCTTGACTGAAGCCAGGAAAAATGTGCCTGGGGATAATGGGCAACCGACAATGCTTCAGAATTTAATTGACTCTGGGTTCCCGTTATCTCATCCCGGTTGGAACTTTGAACAACATGAAGGTAGGGAGCGTCTCCAAAAGTACTGCCAGATTCTAATGGCTGGTCTCCGGGCGGCGAGGAAGCCGACTAATTTGGCCAAGGTAAACCTAGTCAGGCAGGGGCTGACAGAGAGCCCTGCAGCATATCTAGAGAGGTTGATGGAAGTGTTTAGACTGTATACTCCCATGGACCCGCTAGACGATGAGAGTAGAGCAGCAGTGGTCCTATCTTTTGTAAACCAAGCAGCCCCTGATATCAGAAGAAAGCTTCAGAAGATAGATTAGGTGAGCAGACCCTACAGGACTTAATGAAAGTAGCAGAAAGGGTGTATAATACGAGAGTAACCCCAGAGGAAAGGGAGGAAAGAATACGGAGGGAGGAATGTAATTCCAAGCTAAAGAGAATAAACAAAATCAGAAGGAGTTAGCAAAGATTTTCTTTGCCAGAGCTCGGGGAGACATAGGGAGAGGGAGAGGAAGGAGACCAGACCAACATGACAGGCCCCGCCAAGACCCACCCTTGACCCCGAACCAATGCGCATTTTGCAAAGGGACTGGACACTGGAAGAATGAATGCCCAAAGAAAGAGAACACAAAATATGAAAAGCCTGCTCCTGTTAGGACGTTGATGGCAGGCAAGGACAGCGACTAGGGGAGACAGGACTCAGAACCCCTCCCTGAGTCTTGGGTAACCTTGAAGGTGGGGGGGAAGCCAGTAGAGTTGCTGATGGACACAGGGGCTCAGTACTCTGTCCTAAATAAGAAGGAGGGAAAGATTTCTTCAAAAACTAGCCTAGTCCAGGGGGCAATAGGGGCAAAGCAGTATCATTGGACAACGCAGCGACAAGTGAATCTGGGAACTAAGCAAGTGTCCCATTCATTCTTAATTGTACCCAATTGTCATGCACTGCTGTTAGGAAGAGACCTATTATCCAAAGCCCAAGCCCGTATATTCTTTCACAAAAATGGTGTCCAGGTTACTGATGGGGAAGGCTCCCCTCTACAGGTCCTGACTGCACGACGAATACCACTTGTATAAAGATGTAAAAGACCAACGTGCAGGCTTAACAGATATAGCTCTGTGGCTGGAAATGTTCCCCCAAGCCTGGGCAGAAACTGGAGGAATTGGATTGGCAAAACACCGACCACCCATTATTGTGGACTTAAAACCATCTGCCACACCTGTAAGAGTCCGACAGTATCCCATGCCCAAGGAAGCCCGGGAAGGCATACAACCCCACATCCAGCGGCTGTTATGGGAAGGGGTACTAAAGAGGTGCCGGTCTGCATGGAATACACCTCTCCTCCCAGTAAAGAAACCAGGCGGAGAGTACCGACCGGTGCAGGATCTGAGAGAGGTAAATCACCGAGTTGAAGACATACATCCCACAGTACGTAACCCTTATATGCTGCTCAGCAATCTTCCCGCAGATCATGTGTGGTATACTACCCTGGACTTGAAGGATGCTTTCTTTAGCCTGCCCTTAGCCCAGCAGAGCCAAGACATTTTTGCCTTCAAATGGGTTGATGAGACAAATAAAATCCTCGGCCAGCTGACCTGGACAAGGTTGGTCCAAGGGTTCAAGCACTCGCCCACTTTGTTTAACGAAGCCTTGAGTGACGATCTAAGTGAGTACCAGGGCCAAAACCCGCAAATAACCTTAGTACAATATGTAGATGACTTGTTAACAGCAGCCCCCAACCAGGCAGGGTGCCTCAAAGCAACCAGGAGATTGCTCACCACTCTGGGAGAGCTGGGATATTGAGCTAGTGCCCAGAAAGCTCAGATAGCTAAGCCAGAAGTCACATATTTGGGGTATAAGTTAAGAGCTGGGCAGAGGTGGCTCACTGAAGCCATGAAACAGACGATCCTACAGATTCCGCAACCCGCAAGCCCAAGGCAGATGAGAGAATTTTTAGGAACAGTAGGTTATTGTCGGCTGTGGATTTTAGATTTCGCCACAAAAGCGAAGTCACTCTATGAGCTCAGCAGGGAAAGGTTGAAGTGGGACTGGACTCCTGAGAGGGACTCAGATTTGAAAGAACTTAAGGAAGCACTCCTTAAAGCCCCAGCATTGACATTACCTGACCCCACTAAACCATTTTATCTGTTTGTTGATGAGAAAAAAGGAATAGACAAGGGGGTCCTCATACAACAACAGGGGCCATGGAAAAGGCCAGTAGCATACCTCTCAAAGAAATTGGATCTAGTAGCGGCAGAATGGCCCCCTTGCCTGAGAATTATTGTTGCCACCACTCTGCTAGCTAAAGATGCAGATAAGTTAACCCATGGACAGACTTTGAAAGTAACCACTCCCCATGCCATTGAAGGAATGCTCAAACAGCCTCTGGGGAAATGGATAACCAATGCCAGATTAACTCATTATCAGAGTCTATTACTTGACACTCCAAGGGTGCAATTCTTAGCCTCAACAGCTTTAAACCCCGCCACCCTGCTGCCTAACCCTGACCTAGATAAACCTCTGCATGACTGCTCAGAGATACTCGCAGAGGTAAATATGGTCAGAAAGGACTTGCAAGACTGCCTGTTGGAAAACAGTGACTTCATCTGGTTCATGGATGGAAGCAGTTTCGTACAGGATGGACTAAGGTATGTGGGTGCCACGGTGGTAAACGATCGGGAGGAGATTATTTGGGCCGATGCTTTGCTGCCAGGAACTTCTGCTCAGAAAGCTGAACTTATCGCCCTGGCAGAGGCATTGGAAAGGGCAGAAGGAAAGAGGCTAACGGTCTATACGGACAGTCGTTACGCATATGCGACTCTTTATATACATGGCGCCATCTACTGGGAGTGTGGGTTCAAAAACACAGAAGGAAGAGAAATAAAGAACCAGATGGAAATTCTTCGCTTGTTATCAGCTGTGACCTGGCCACGAATGGTAGTGGTGGTCCACACCCCAGGGCATCAGAGAGGACACTCCCCTGAAGCAAGAGGTAACCAAGCAGCAGACCAGGCAGCTAAGAGAGCTGTCCTCCAAATGGTACGAACTTTAATAACTAACTTACCTTGCCCACAACTGGAACCCCTGCCTCCTACTCCCAACTATTCCGGAGAGGACGTCCAGTGGGCTGAGAAATCACCACAGATAGAAAAAGATCGGAATGGATGGTATATGAACTCAGAGGGAAAACTGATTCTCCCAGAAGGATTGGGACGGCACCTTCTCACACACCTCCACCAAGTGACTCACTTAGGGGAATGGAAAATATTGGAGTTATTGGACAAAGGACAAATTTGTATGCCCCATCAGAAGCAAGCGGCTCAGAGTGTGGTGGACCGGTGCCGGGCCTGTCAGGTCATGAAAATAGAGAAGAGGAAGAACACACACGCAGGTACAAGGAGGAGGGGGAGGGAGCCTTGCTGTCATTGGGAAATAGATTTCACTGAAGTTAAACCAGGTAAATATGGATACAAATATCTCTTAGTGTTAGTGGATACTTTCTCGGGATGGGTGGAAGCGTACCCCACTAGAAGGGAAACAGCAGTGGTAGTGGCCAAGAAGATTTTAGAAGAGATAGTACCCAGATATGGAATGCCTAGAACATTAGGGTCAGACAATGGACCAGCTTTTGTAAGTAAAGTTATCCAGGGCTTAGCCTCAACTCTGGGGATAAATTGGAAACTACATTGTGAATATAACCCTCAGAGTTCGGGGCAGGTAGAAAGAATGAACAGAACACTAAAGGAGCCCTATCTAAATTGGCAGTATAAACTGGCGGAGACTGGGTGACCCTCCTCCCCTTTATGCTATACCGGGCTAGGAACACCCCGTACACGCTAAATCTGACCCCATTTGAGATAATGTATGGGACGCCACCCCCTATTATTTCCAACCTGGAAATATGTCCCAATGACTTGTCAAAAGATTTAATCTTGGAGATGAAAACTCTCCAAGTAATTCAGAGGGAATTATGGCCCAAGCTCCGGGCCATATATGAAGGCCCTCTTAGTGAACAAGGGATTGTCCATGGGCTTGAACTGGGAGATTGGGTATGGGAAAGAGGCACCAGAAAAAAACACTGGAACTGAAATGGAGGGGACCTTATGTTGTTTTTCTTGTGACCCCCACTGCTGTTAAGGTAGACAGAATCAGCACCTGGATACACCACTCCCATATCAGGAGAGCTAACCAGACGGAACAGCAGTCTGCATGAGCGAATTGGAACGCGTACTCCCATCCTGAAAACCTGCTGAAAGTCAAGTTAATGCAGCACCACAGAGATTAGAGTCCTTCTCACCCTCACCCTAAGCTTCTACCGCCTCGCGATAAGTATCACTGCTCACCAACCCTATAAAGTTACATGGCGAATTTGCAACAGACAAACCCATGAGACCTTAAACTCCACCACCCATACCACCCCCCTTAACGTATGGTGGCCTGATTTATTTTTCTTGCTCATGACACTTACTGACTGTTCCTGGGATGAAGGTTTTATCTGTAAGATGGGGTTTTTTGCATGCCCTGGGTACAAAAGAAATGTCCAGCAATGCGGGGGGCTCATTTGATATTACTGCAAAAGTTGGAGTTGTGGAACCTCTAATGATGGGGAATGGAAGTGGCATGTAAAAGCCCAGGACTATGTAACATTCTCCTTTGCCAAGCCCAGATATACATTAGGAAAATGTAAAGAATGTGACTGGGTAAAAGTCTCGTTCACTGAACAGGGAAAGAAGGAATTAGCTAAGTGGAAATCTGGGCTTACTTGGGGTCTCCAAATTTGGTATAGGGGATACCCCTCTGGGGTGATAACCATTTTACAGGAAATAGAACCCTTAGATACCAGGCCAGTGGGTCCAAAAGAAGTGTTAAACCCCCCAGAAAAAGGAATCCTACCCCCTACAAGAAAGACGGTGAAAGAATCGAGCACTGTAGCTCCTGATGTTACAGTAAGAGTCCCCCATCCAACTCCGAGGGTCCAAGCCAATTCTCAGGACATAGACCCTCTTTGGAACTTAATGCTAGCCGGTTACCAAACACTTAACTGTACTAGTCCTAACCTAACTCAAGCCTGTTGGCTCTGTTACGATGTAAAACCTCCATTTTATGAAGCAATAGGCATTAACACCTCTTTCAGCTATTCTCATGACCTGAATCCAAAGAATTGTTCCTGGAAAGACCGTAAGGTAGGAATTACTATACAACGTATAACAGGAAAGGGCTTATGTGTGGGGAAACCCCTCAACGCTCAAGAATGTTGCACTTCATATACTGAAGTAAACCCATCCTTTAACTGGATAATTCCCAGGGAAGGGTGTTGGTGGCTTTGCTTGAAAGCTGGACTTTTACCCTGTTTAAACTTGAAAGTACTTAATCTGTCCTCAGATCATTGTGTACTTGTGACTGTCCTGCCCCAAATTCTTTACCACCCAGAGGAAGAGATGTATGTACACTGGGGTGGGACTAATAGAGAAAAAAGAGAACCACTCACTATAGCCTTTACTGTAGCTACTCTGGTTGGATTTGCAGGGACCGGTCTAGGAATAGCTTCTTTAACTGTACATAAACAAGGCATGGATTCCCTAAGGGAAGCTATAGACGAAGACCTTGGAAGGATAGGTGCCTCTACCTCAAATTTAGAGAAATCTCTAACCTCGCTATCGGAGGTAGTGTTACAAAACTGCTGGGGGTTAGAACTTATACTTCTCCAACAGGGAGGATTGTGTGCAGCTCAAAGAGAAGAGTGCTGCTTCTATGCAGATCATATGGGAGTGGTTCGGGAATCCATGGCCAAAGTACGAGAAGGACTTGCCCTAAGAAAAAAGGAGCGTGAAACTCAGGAAGGATTATTCGAGTCTTGGTTTAATAACTCCCCGTGATTAACTACTTTGATATCTACTCTCTTAGGACCTTTCATAATCCTTGTAATTATATTGACTTTTGGTCCCTGCATTATAAATAAGCTTATATAATTTGTAAAAGATCGGGTTAATACTGTACAACTTATGGTCTTGAGACAACAATATCAGTCTTTATCTCCTGTGACACAGGAGGAAGATTCTTCATGTGCATAACAAAAAAAGTGGGAAATGTGAGGCCTGAGTCCTAATGGCCTCCAGGTATATCTTTAACCAGAAGTCTTTCAGTGTCGGGGATTCTAACACTCCCCATGCCTCAGGGCTTTTATCTACCCTCCGGACTCAGCATGTATCAGAGATTTCCTCCGGATTCAGCATGTATCAGAGATTTACCTGACTCCTGAAGTCTCCCACGTATCAAGGCTCTGCATCCTCCCTAGATAATAATTCCCTAAGTAGACTTTGGAGCCGGGGGATTCCAGCACATCCCCCAACATCTCAGATCCCTGCCCTAAACCCCTTAGCAACAACCAATCATCTGTACCCCTTAGCCCTGGTACTACTCCACCCTATATTTTTTGCTATAAAAATGTGATAGTAAAAGAGCACGAGGTCTTTTGCCTTGGCCACTGCATTGGCAAGAGCAGGGACCCTAGCTCGCGCTAGCTAATAAACTTTCCTTTAGCTTTTGCATTATCGTGTCTGTGGTGACATCCTCGTGCCGACATTCCTTTCCGGGCTCAACACTATGAGTCGGATCTGATTCCAGGGCAGTACATTGCATTGCTTTGTTAAAGCAATTGCTGAAGTGAATTGCCCAACCTTCCTTCCCAGGAGTGGCTGGTGGGTTTGAACCGCCAGCCTTCTGGTTAGCAGTCAAATGCCTTAGGCATTATGCCACCAGAGCTCCTATCTTAGTCCACAGGGAGATTGAGAATAGAATTTACTGTTAAATGAGAAAGTTAAAACCAAAAGGAAAAAAACAAAGAAACAAAACAAAACAAAAAAAACATTGACAGCGAATCAATTCCAACTCATAATGATACTATAGGACAAAATATAACTGCCCCATAGGATCTTCAAGGTTAAAATGTTTATCATAGGTTCAAGGTTAAAATATTTATGGGAGCTGGAGCAGGAACAGACTGCCTCATCTTTCTTTTACAGCTGGTGGTGGGCTCCAGGCAGCTGCTGTTGTTGTTGTTATGTGCCCTCGAGTCAGACCAACTCATAGTGACCCCTCCTTGGGTTTCTGAGGCAATATAACTATGAAGTAAATTGCCCTATCTTCCTTCCGAGGAGTGGCCAGTGGGTTTGAACGCCAACCTTCTGGTTAGCAGCAGCTGATGGGTTCAAACTGATGACCTTTTTATTAGCAGCCAGATGCTTTAACCACTGTACCATCAGAGCTCCTAAATGAAATTGGAACCAGTAAATAACTTTATAGCTAAGGTAGATATATATCAAGTCTTAGTTTGCATCTTGATCACCAAATTAAAATGTTTAGGCATTAGGATTTCTCACTGTGTGTCTACTAAACCAAAAACCAAACCCATCGCCACTGAGTCAATTCCAAATCACAGCAACCCCCACTGGGATTCCAAGGCAGTAAATCTTCACGGATGTAGATTGCCCTATCTTCCTTCTGTGGAGCAACCAGCAATCTTCTGGTTAGCAATCAAATGCCTTAAGCAATGCACCCCAGAGCTCTTTTGTGCATTGTAAATTTGTTACTAAGATAAGGAGACTTCTGCAAAAAATTAATCCCTGAAAGAATGCTTCGTTAAACAACTCAGCCTCTAACAACTCTCCGCATGTAAACAACCTCAGATGCAACAGATAAATTTACTGATATTGTTTAAGTTTGTAGCTTTTGTCATGCTTTCTCCCCAACCCCTATATGCCTGCAGACACAAACACTTTGCTTATCATAACTTTTTAAACCTTTACTTTTCTCCCGTAACTTGGAGCATTGCAACATCTTTCATGGATTTCTGTAAATGTCTCCCTATTACAAAATGATTCTATTATTTCAATAAAATTTTTGTTTTAATTTCTAGTGGAATGTCAGTCTAGTCTTTTAACTAAGACATTACTACATAATTAAGAAAAGTTCAATTAACCAGGAAGATAAAAAAAATTCTAAATTTATAAGCTCCAGTAAGGAAAATATCAATAAGTACTGGTGGCAGAATGGTTAGGTGCTCGGCTGTTAACCAAAAGATTGGTGGCCCAACCCACTAAATACTCTGAAGGAAAAAATGTGGCAATCTGCTTCTATAAAGATTACACCCTTGGAAAACCCATGAGGCAAATCTGCTCTGCCATATAGAGTCTCTACAAGTTAGAATTCAGTGGATAACACACAACAACAAAAACAAATAATTTATCTTCAAATTATTATCAAGAAAATTTAAAAAAAAAACACAAACATACATACCACTCACATACTTATACACACACTTAGAGAAAACATTAGAAATGTCAAGAAAAGACATAATTACAGAAGCAGTAGAGATCAAAAAACTAACATGTGAGTACCATAAATCACTGCTTCTCCAACTTAAAAATGCAAACAGTTCACCTGGGGATCTTATTAAAATTCAGATACTAATTTAGCAGGTCTTGGATGGGCACTGAGTTTGGCAGTTGGAAAGCCCTCAGATGATGATACTGGCCTATAGATTGACACTGAGGTGAAAGCTTATAAATAACTTCATGAAAATTTAGGTAAAGTAGATAAATTCCTGCAAATGTATAACTTACCAAATGAAATGAAATGATTATTATTCCTCAAATTAATGAAGAAAACTAATCACTGGCTTAAAATCTTTATAAAAATGAAATAATAGGTTTTTGTGATTTGACTGATGAGCCCTACCCAACATTTCAGTAATACCTGATTTTCATCACACAAGAATTCTTTCAGAAATCACAAAACACTCTCCATTTCATTCTATGGAGATAATTTAACTTTGCTTAGAACAAATAAACAAGTTCAATAAGAGAAAAGAAAAGGAAAGACAGCCTTGTTTACAAACTTTAATAAAAATAGCATAATTTATTAGCAAGGCAAATTCTGCTGTGTTTTTAAAAGATAATAAATGATAAAAATTTGAACCTATCTCAGGAATGCAAGGATGGATCAACATTAGAAAGTCTATGAAAATTATTTATCACAATAAACAATTTAAATAGAAAATATTAAAGATGAATAAAAATCATCCGATTAGTTTAACAGTTATTCATGACACCCTACTGTATTAGAAATACACATTCTCCTCAGTTATCAATTGTCTCATTACCCAACATTTCACATTTACGATAACTTTGAAAAAAAATCTCATATGGCACTTCCAATGATCTGGGCCCCACACAAGACTACTGTTAGATCCAGACCACTCTCTGTGGGCCATCGAAAGCAATATACTGGAGTCTGTGGTGACAACCAGGCCATATGAGGAATGGCAGCCAACTAGCTGCAGGACATATGTCATTCTTCTGGATATCTCATTCTGTTTATAGAGGGTGAAGTTTGATGTTAAGATGAAATAATATCATGGATGGGCAGGAGAAGGTCAGGGAAGGACCTGAAGTTGCTGGAGAAGTTGGTGGGAGAGGTAAGAGGAAAGACAAATGGAAAGGGGCTATGTAGGGCTGAAGTTGTTGTTGTTGTTATTTGCCCTCGAGTCAGACCTGACTCATAGTGACCCCTCCTTGGGTTTACCAGGCAGTATCACTACTGAAGTAGATTGCCCAACCTTCCTTCTGAGGAGTGGCTGGTGAGTTTGAACCTCCAGCTTTCTGGTTAGCAGTCAAATTCCTTAGGCACTACGCTACCAGAGCTCTGGGTAGACAATGAGCAGGGTCACCACCCAGGTCAGGTGATGGGAGGAGGCTGACAAAGCATGAAAGAGGTCCTTACTTAGGTTGGAAGGTGGGAAGTTCCAGGCAGAGGATGATCTGAATCCCCACCCAGGTTGAGTGGTGAGAGGTGGTGGGTGGTGGGCAACGTCCAAACAGTTACTTCTACCACTAATCCCTTTGGACTCCACAATGGTTGGGAAGGCATGGTGGGGAAAAGGGGCCTGCCACACTACATGCATCCAGAGACATGCTGGGGAATCCAACAGGCAGCAAGGGATGGAGAGGGAGGACACTGGTGCCCAAGATGAGTTGTAGCCCCAACTATTGCATAACACCAATTTTGCAAAAAGCTTTGTTCTTTGGAACTTAACTGTTGATAAGTGAGGAGTGGGATTATAAAATAAATTTCACAACATGTTAAAGCATATCTATCCAAAATGTATAGAAACTATTATTCATTTTAATGAAAACTTTTAGGTACATTTACCTGCAATTTCTTAGAAAGAGAAGAAAGCACGATTAGAACACATAAAGAATAGAAAGGAAGAAATAAAATTTTTATTACTCACCAATGATGCAATTGATGATGTAAAATTCTCAAAGAATCTGCATGCAAATTATTGGAATTAATAAATGAGGACAGCAAGGAAGCTTCTAAACATCAAGCCCATGGAAGAGTGTGAGAAACTGACTCAAATTAAAAGAAACTTCAGACACACTCTAAGTAATAGACAAAATTTAAGGTTGATTTGTGTTTGGTGTTTTGCAGTTTCATTACAAAACTGCATAAAGAAGTGTCTGGGTATGTATCACCCTTCATAACATTTTAGGTTTCCAGAATCTTAGAAACCATTTCTTTAATAATTACCAGAAAAATCCCAGTTGTTATATTACCACTTTGATCCCTTTCTCTCTATGCTCCTGCGATTGTTGTTGTTGTTGTTGTCCTCTGGAAATCTAAGTAAAAATACATTAGACTTTTTTCCATCCCTCTCATTCTTATTTCCACAGTTAATATCTTTTTTTCCCTCACAGTTATGTATTTTTTAAATTTTATTTAGATTTCAATTCACTAATTTTCAGAGTGTCAGCTATCAGCTGGTTGTACTGTGGTAGCTTGCATGTTGCTGTGAGGCTGGAGGCTATACCAGTGG